TGATAGACCGACGTCGCTTATTGGGGGGTCATCTAGGGCTCTGGGGTTTAGGCCGCTATTCTTAATGATAGACCGACGTCGCTTAGTGCGGGGGTTATCAATAGTACAAAATGATGATAAATAAAACAAACAGGATGATAAAGATCATAAACAGGATGATAAATACGAAAAAATGGATGATACAGGTGATAGAAAGATGATAAAGATGATAAAAAAGATGATAAAGGTGATAGAAAGATGATAAAGATTATAAAAAGATGATAAAGATGATAAAAATGATGGGATGGGTTGGGTGGTGTGTGGTGGGGTGGGGTGCGGTGGTGGGCAAGGGGCAGATACAGTTTTGGGTGGGCTGGGGGTGGTGGAGGGGGTGGAGGAAGGTAGGGAGCGGAGGAGTTGGAGAGGGTGCATGGGTGGAGGGGTGGAGGGGTGGAGGGGAGGATGGAGGGTAGTGGAGGAGTGAGGGTGTCAATTATTTCAATTGTTTCAATTATTTATATTCTTACTCATCGTATAGGAAAAAATAGGGCGTCAAATAAACCGTAGAGGCGCCTCTCTCATATATATATATATACATAGATAAATAAATACATATGTATATATATATATCGATATGTATATGTATATGTATGTATATATATATATGCTGATTACTTAGAGCATAGCTCGCTTGGTCTTTCAGGGACTACCGAGATCACCGACTCGACTCAAGCCGCGGGGTGCGCTCGCGGGGTGAGGCCTGCTCGGGCGACACGTGCTGGTAAGTCGTCTTGCAGGACGCGTGGTGTCAACAACCTGGCGCTGTCACAGGCACGAAAGGATTGCAACAACACCTTCTACCAAACAGAAAACGCTTGTCCAGATTGGCTACGGCTACACATGGTGATGAAGACCAGCTGCCGATGAAACTTTCAGTGGCCACTCGCCCTGAATGCGAGGCCTCGGCTCTCCGGCGCTTGGCCACAATGTAAAGGAAGCCAGGACCTGATTGCTGTGGGTTCATTGCTGCATCTGTTGCTGAGCGCTATGTAGATGTCGGGGGTTCAGAGCCAGATGGAGCTTTAGACTGATGCGGCGCCCTTGAGCTTAAAACTTCTATCACCCCTGACTTCCGACGAAATAGCCCTTGGACTGATGGGGCGCCCTTGATCTTAAAATCAGAACATATCAGATCTCCTATCAGTCCTCAACTCCGAGGATGGAGCCTTGGACTGATGGGGCGCCCCTGATTTGAATCAATACTCCTAGCACCCCTGAACTCTGAGGATGGAGCCTTGGACTGATGGCGCGCCCCTGATTTTGAATCAAAACTCCTAGCACCCCTGAACTCCGAGGATGGAGCCTTGGACTGATGGCGACCCCCTGCAACAAAACCCGAACTCCTATCACCCCTGAACTCCGAGCATGGAGCCTTGGACTGATGGGGCGCCCCTGATTCTTTAAAATCAAAACTCCTATCACCCCTGAACGCCGAGGATGAAGCCTTGGACTGATGGGGCACCCCTGATGTTTAAAATCAGAACTCCTAGCACCCCAGAACTCCGACCATGGAGCCTGGGATTGATGGGATTGATGGGGCGCCCCTGATTTTAAATCAAAACTCCTATCACCCCTGAACTCCGAGGATGGAGCCTTGGACTGATGGGGCGCCCCCGATTTTAAAACCAGATCTCCTATCACTCCTGAACTTCGAGGATGGAGCCTGGAATGACGGGGCGCCCATGATGTTTAAAATCAGAACTTCTATCATCCCTAACTCCGAGGATGGAGCCTTGGACTGATGGGGCGCCCCTGATTTTGAATCAAAAATCCTAGCACCCCTGAACTCCGAGGATGGAGCTTGGACCTGCATGGCGGGGCACCCATGATTTTAAAATCAGAACGGCGCCCCTGATTTTTAATCACTGCGCCGGCTGCGCCGATCGCAGCCGACTGCGCCAGCTGCGCCGACTGCGACGATTGCGCTGACAGCGCCGATTGCGCCGACTGCGCCGTCTGCGCCAGCCACATTGATTGTGCTGGTCAGCTGGCACATACGCAGCGAGGCTGCCGGGCGAGCCTTGCAGTTGTGGGCAATGCACAGGTGCGCCCTTTGCACGTGCGCCGGGCAACGCCGGCCGGTGCACCATGTACACCGGCCGGTGCGCCGGTGCGCCGGGCTACGGCTTCCGGTGCATCGGTGCGCACACCGAGAACGCTGCATATTATTTGGAGGCAGAGCTTAAACCCGAAAAACTAATTTTTATGCAGGCGGGCTGCTACTTGCCAGCCCATGACCTAAGACTACGAATCGTGCCCAGCAACCTATACTGTCTTTTTCCTGGCCTCCTTCTCTCCCAAGGCTGCACTCTCTGCACACAGGATGGTTGTCGAATCGGCCTGCGATAACCGATGCTGACGTTCATGTACATCTCGCCGCACATCGGATAGCTGGGAGCGGGCTGGAGGCCTCAAACGCCGGCAGCGCCAGGTGTGCTTGCGGCCTCAGGACTGTTGCAGACGAACGCAAAAGTGTATACTCGCTGGGCTTTGCTTGATCCAGGATGAAGATGCAAAGTCGAGATGCCGCGGCTGCAGCTGGAAGGCCACGGCCGACATGTCTGCAGAGGCCAAAGCCTGCGAAATGCACGGCATGCACGCAAACCACCCATCCTTTTGTTGATGCTCTATGCTCGGCGCAAAATGGTGTGACTTCGCGCTGTTGGGTCTGAACACCTGGAAACTCCATGAGGAGAGGCGCTGATGCCGTCGTAGACTTTGCCAGCAGGTGCTCACGCAACGCTTGCGTGCATTAGTACAAAACTCCTCCTCCAAGCCACAGTCGCAGCTTGTGAGTTTCGGGTCGGTTTCAGGTGCATGAAATTGCTTGTGTCCGGACTTGTTCGCTCGTGCCCCTCAGCCTCCGTACCTCTGGAATCTCAGAGACCGCACTTCCGTAAAGCTGCAAGCACGTAGTAAAGTGTTGAATTAGCCCTGTTGGTGTTCTCGTCAGACCGAGTCCAACCAAGCACACCCACAGCTTTATAACATGATGCCTCCAGGAAAGACAACGCATCGGCAGTTTCCAGACCTGCCAAAAGCACAGGCCCTGTTGACCGCTTCTAGGGATAGGGCATTTCGACCTGCTTCGTCTCCGATTCCCAGGGCTGCAACCAGGCCGAGCTCCAGCAGAAAGTCCTCCCAAAGAGGAAGAGGAAAAGAATGGAAAAGAGCTACTGAGGCCCCCCATGTGCGGGGGCCTCTCCGAGGCCGAGAAGCAGCGCCAGCGGCTCCGCGACGAACTGCCAGGCCTCTGGGGGCCGTCGAAGCGTTTTTATTCGGCGTCCCTTTGGTCCTCGCCCTCGGCTGGCCCTTTGGCCCCGGCCACTCGAGTCGAGGCCAGGGACGGTAGGAGCGCCAGGACATGCAGCGGGAAGGGCTCCTGAGCAGATCCGCAGAGCCGCGAGGGTATACACTGATGAGGGGAAGATGCAGGAAGCACCGTGTTCTGGGGAGAGGGGCCTTCTGCCTCGCTCTCAGGAAACACACGCTGTCTGGATCCGCCAGATCCAGCAGTGCCAGAGTCTGGCCGTCACCTGTGGGAAGTCGTCAGAGGAGCGGCACCGTCTCTGTACCGACTACAACCCTGCACACATAGACGTTGCTCAGGTATCTTAACCGCTTATCGGGTGAGAACACATTCAAGAATCCAAAAATCAATCCCTCCAAACCAATCTTGTTGAAAGGCCGTGTTCGTTTGTCCATGCGGGTGCAACTCGCCCCGAGTGCTCAGTTCCGCCCATCAGCCCGCACAACTCCACGCGAGACTAGAAGGGTCCGAAAACAACTCTCAGCTTGTCATGTCGACATTTTTCTAACGTTCAATGCATCCTGTCCGGATTCTCAAAGAACCCCTCTCGAGAAGACTTCGAAGCGATCTTGATCTGGAAAGGGTGGCAAGAAAACAAACTGCCTGCTTCCCTGACGACGGAGGTCAGAGCCCAAGAGTCGCCAAGCCGTGCCTGTCTGCACTAAGTAGGTAAGGACAGCACAGCGCGGAATTTGCAATAATTTCCTCCAAGCTTCGTGGTGATGATTTGGTTACAACGAAATGCCGAATAGCACCGAAGGCCGCAAGACCCACATTAAACCCAAAAGCAGCATGGCCAGAAGAAGAACGCTGCTAATGCCGGTGGCAACCTACTCCTTCAATGCCTCAACGAGCGCTGCCAAAGCTCGACCTGAGGATCAAAGGGGGCCGCCTGTAAGCTGTGAACTAGCACCCGGGCATCCCCCTTGCATCCTCACGCTTGCCTGCAACACAAAAGACTCATAAAGCATGTGGCCGCATGGTGGTAAGTGCAGCAACCTTGGGACCCAGCTGCACCTGCCGACTGGAAGGAGCCACATCTTCCTGCGCAGGTCAATGAAGGCTACGAGTTGCTACAACTGTGCTTTGTGCTTCCCCCATGAAGGATGATTTTGCTGAAGCATGCTGAAGCCTCGTCGAGCGTTGAAGGGGCTCTGCAAGCAGACCACACTGGGCCTTGAAGGCTGCAGTCGTTCTCGACTCTTAAGGTCTTACAGGATGCAGGAATGCATGCAAGTCCATGCAAGTCCAGGCAGTCCAGGCTCCTGGCATCGGTCAGCTCCAGCACCTGCTCAAAGAACGTTTCAAAGCACTCATTCTTTCCATACCGCCTCCGAGTTTACATTCCACGCCTGTGCGCTTTGTAGAGCATGCACTGATGTTTCCAGCGCCTGCATCACGAAAAGCATCCACAGGCAAGGAAGCCAGCGAGGGAAAGCAAAGCGGTATGCCAAGCCGTGAAAGGATAGACACAGCAGCCCTTCGTCGTGCAGCCCTTCCCGCTCTGACCTCGCGGATATCCGCCTCCATCACGCCCGCACCGACAAGTGCATGGATCTGCACCCAAGCGCAGGAAGTGCAATTTGGTCCGAGACAACTACAAAGAATGAGGCCACTACACAGCCAAGGCACATAGGGTCTTGATCTCCGGTAAGCTTCAAAAGCTTCCTCGCGACAGACAGCGTGGCCAGGTGAGATGCGGCTTCGAAAATCCTTCCTCCAGGCAAGCCGTAGCACTTTCGGCTGCATCGAGGGGGAAGGCCCACACACGAAGACCTTGAGGTGCCTGGCCGCAAAGAAGCGGAGCATTCAAGCAATGAGGGAGCCGCGCATATTTCATGCTGGATCGGCGAAGACGAATCAAGATGCAAGTTAGCAAAGCGATTCACTTAAGGGCTAAGGGTCTATAGTGGTAAACCACGTGGGTCAGAAGAGGTGCCAGCAATTTTTTGGGGAGTGTTGCTTTTCCCTGCCTGGCATCTGCATCATGCCATAAAGACTTTTCTGCGGGCAACGCTCAGCTGAGTTGGGGTACAGTATCCAGTCACGGTCTGTGGCCGTGCTCTCGGCCAGTCCAGAATGTGGATATGCTCTCATTGTAGACATGCACACTTTGGAGCCAAAATGAAGTGCTGTCCACGAGACTCCGGGATTCAAGATCTGGCAAGGGTGCTCGAAGCCTTCTAACTCTCAAAGTGTGCTTGAACTGTTTGGGTGGGGCTCTCTCGACTTCACTTGGACTTCTCATGTGTGCTGTAGGACTCTCCAAAAACCCTCACCGTCAGAATTCTGCAGGAAGCAAACCGCGCTCATCTCTAGACCAGGCAACACAGCCGGCCTGGTCTGTCTCCGGCAGCCGATCAGCCCAGCTCTGTAGGAAAGGGTCCTTACATCTTACATCGGAGAACGAAGGCAACAAACACAATTTCATTTCAATGCCACCCTGCCTGAATGCTGCTACCCTCCTCAACCTCGATCAAAGCCACATCCGTACAGCCTCCCAGAACGAAGAGCTTGGCTGGATGCATTCGCATGCCCTTGAGCGCAGAATTTTGATGGCCTCGGGCCAAGAGCGATGCCAGAACCAGCGCAAGCGAGAGGCCCTCCCTGGCTCCTGCACCTGCGAAGGGAGGCGCAAGAGTGTCGCAGCGTGCTTCCAGACTCGGCGAGACCACCGCGCACGCCCTGCATGCACCTGGCAAGAGGACGGCCGGGGCCGCTGCGGCGTGCGGAAGGACGGTGGCCAGAGCGTGGCCCTCCAGACAGCCCTCGCGCACAGAGCTCGGAACCGAGAAAGGAGCAGGTGCGGCATCTGCCGTCCTCCAGCACTGCGACCGAAACAGCGGCCCTGCCCACTGCCCAGCTCGCTGCTGCAGCGAGGAGCCCTAACGCCTGAGCAGGAAAGGCGATGTGCTGCAAGCTGCGGTGTTCTGTTGAGCCTCCGGTGCGCACTTCGCGAAGGCCTCGCCCAGAAAGAGCCCCGCGGATCCTGCACTGCCCGCTCGCAAAAAGCTCCGTTGCAGCTTCGCTGCCAGGAGCTCCTGAAGGCCAGAGCGAGAGGTGCTCGAGCTCGCTCTCCATCGTAACGACGAAGTCGCCCGAGCCGGCCGGAAACCGCAGCACAGCCGCTGCGACCTTTCCAGAGGCTGTGTGTTTAGAGAGCCACGTGACCATCGTCCCTGTTCTGACCCAGTCGCCATTCTGGTCGCCGCAGTGCCCTGAATCGCAAAGACAGGCACCTGCGGAGAGCAGGTCTGGCAGACAAGGCTGACTCCAAGCCATTTGATGACCCTGACCCAACGGCACCAAATGCCTGAAAGCCGTGCATTTTTCACAGACATCGTCGCACCGAGTATGTCGCCTGGGCTGCTGCCGCCAGGCGCCGCAGCTTCGTTGCCAAAGAAGGGAAGAGCGCGGGTGGCACTTTGGCCTCCCAGCCATCCTGTCCGTGAGCGCCGACATCTGTAGCCTGTAGGGCTGTAGGAGGGGTCTAAGGAGAAATCACCCAGGGACGGAGCTCCTGATCCAAGACCTCAGCGCCACCGTAGTGAAAACGCAGGATGCTGACCGTCTTGGCGAAGCAGCCGTTGACCTTCAGCTCAATACATGCCTCATGCCGGCAATTTTGGAACGGGAAGATCAAACACATCCAAGGCACGCAGAGCTGAAGGCGGCCATCCTCGAGGTGGAAGAAAACGTCATCCTTCATTCACTGACTCCGACCTTCGCCTTCTGACCTGTAACCTGGGTAAGCAAGACCAGCAAGACAGGCATGTCACAGGTCCTTCGAGCAACGCGCCACAAAGCCGACTTGCGGGGCAACCTTGTGTCTTCAAGGGCAAGATCCAAGGGACTCTTCGGGCGACGACAGTGGCATCCTGCTGAAACACCTTTGCACAGAGAGCCTGGCGAACCGCTTGAAGGCACATGCACCGCTCGGAGACATAGACAGATGCTGGACGCCATCTATGGGCTTGAAATTGTCTGAATAAATGCCTCTGGGAACCTATGATCATAGCAGGTGTCGCTGGTAAAGCATTACGGCATCTGCAATGACCTCGGTGCTTTGTGCACAGAACCATGTATGCCATGAGCCAGGGATCTCAACAGGATTCAGAACTCAGAGATTGCTTGCCTGGCACAAAGAGGAAACCTGATGGATTGCAGCTGTCTTCACGAGCGAAGTCTCCACAACTCGTGCAAAGCTCATCTGAAAGGCTATGCCACGAGCCTTTCCATTCCTTTGCTGACAAACGCCAACTCCCTGTAGCTACAACGATTTGCCAAGTTAAAGCCGCGAACTGCTTCGTGCCACCTTCCGTGCTGGTCGAAGGTCACGATAGCTGAGGCAAAAATGTTCGATGTCGCTTCCAACCCCTGGCCTTCAAGCTCCCGCAGCAACAGAACTGTCTGCTGCCACTGTCCATCCTCCCCGACAGCAGTAACTAGGACACTGAAGGTGATGGTGTTTCCTTGCATCTGCTGCTCATGAACGTCAACAAGCAACTGCTGCGCCTGCTGCCACATGCCGTGCTTCGCACAAGCACTTATGGATGAGCTGTAGCTGATCACATCGGCATTCGACCGACCTTCCCAACTTGGCTGCAGCAGGCAGAGCCAACGTAACCCATGCATCCACTTACCTCCTTTCTCGAAGGTGCTCATTGCTGCGTTGAAAGTGATCACATCTGCTAAGACTCCACGTGTTCTAAGATCCTGCCAAAGGCTTTCTGCCTGCTGCCACTGTCCACCACTACCACTCGATCTGCAGGACGCAATGGCGGCATTATAGGCGACAACATTTGCCTGGACACGTCGGCGCTGCAACGTTTCAAGGAGTGTCAAAGCCATTTGCCAATTTCCGCTTTTCTCACATACAGCAATCGCAGAGCTATATGTGACGATGCTGGCCTGCAGCTCCCGCTGTTCGAGTTCTCGCAACAGTCGTAAGGCCTCTTGCCACAGCCCAGGGCCCACACAGGAGCTGATCACTGAGTTGTACGAAATGATGTCGGTTTGGACTCTGGCCACCTTCATAGTTTGCAACCACAGCTGAGCGCGCTGCCATTGTCCACCCTTCTCATGAGCAGCGATCACGGCATTGTAAGTTATCGTGTTGGGAAGGATACTCAAGTCTTGCATCTCACTCACGAGGACTTGAGCCTCCTGCCACCTGTCCCAGCAAGAAGTAATTGCAGCATTGTACGTGATTGCATTGATTTGCAGCTCTTTCTCGGTCGCCTCATGTAGCAACCGATGTGCTTGCCACATCTCTCCTCCCTTCTCACAGGCACTGACTGCAGAATTCCAAGTTATGATGTCTGCCTGTATCCTAACGGATCCGGCCTCTTCCAATAAGTGGATTGCCCATTCCCACTGGCCACTTCGAGCACACGCACTGATAGCCGCACTTATCGAGGCGACAGCGGCTTCGTCTCTACAAGTCCCTAAACCCAAGATGTCCTGCAGCAACAGCAGCGCCTGCTCCCATTGCTCGCACCTCTCACAGACACTTATAGCCATGCTGTAATCCACGGTCTGGGCTGCCATGTTGCGCTCCAAGTCTCGAACACACTGCAAGACTCTTCCCCAATCCTGACCGTGGACACAAGCTCGCAAGATTGCATTGCATGTCATTTTGTCGGGAGGAATATGGTCGGACGATTCTAGTACCGCTTGAGCTTCACGCCAATTCCCCCGAAGCTCACATGTCGCAACTGCCGACCCATATGTTACAACGTCCGCGCGAGTCGTGCTAAGGTCTAGGGCTTCCAGGAGAAGCAGCGCGTGCTCCCATTCACCAGTGTGCTTGAGCGAACTCAGCGTTGCATTGTACAAGATGACGTTGGATTCGGCGGCAGTGTGCCGCAGCTCGCTCAAGAGATCGAGCGCATGCCGCCATTCTCCTGCCCTCTCACATGCAGATATCGCAGAGCTGAAGAGGATCACATTGGTCTCAAGCCCTTCGTCTTCAAGGTCCCGCAGCAACAAAAGGGAATGATACCATTCCTTCCCATTGGCACAAGCCTTTATTGCAGATCCGTATGTGACAACGTTGGCTTGTCCAGAGCTGGCTCTAAACTCAAGCAAAAGATGCAGCGCATTTTGCCAATGTCCAGATCTGCCACAAGCATTTATGGCTGCGGTGCAGGTAAATACATTCGGAACGGACTTTGCGCTTGCCAACTCTGCCAACACAGACATGGCCCCCTGCCAGTCACTGCGCTTGGCAAACTTGGTGATGGCTGTGCTGTAAGCCTTTTGGTCTGTATGCGGGCTTCGCAGCCTCTCTGTAACTCCAGCACGCTGCATGGCGCCGGTAAATCTTGCATCCAGATCCTTCGTGTGAATCCGCTGTCCGTGGCTCGGTTCGCTGCAGCACCCAGCAGTCCCGGCTTGAATCTAAGTATTGTGGGTGGGAGGATGCATGGCTGTTCGAGCTGCAAAAACAAAAAGCTGTCCTCTCAAAGGCTGTCCAGGTTTTCAGCATACTGTCATCACCGCAACAAACCCTGCTAGCAAACACACTGCAGCTGCTTTGGGTACACTGTTTTGGCCAATTCTGTTTACCCCTTGCACTTGCGCAGTGAAGAAGAACATGTGACAACCTGTCAGTCAGGCATACTTTACAGCGACCGGCATCTTAAGCAGGTCAGGCACCCGTGCTGCCCAAAAACGAACTTGCGTGAAGCTCCTCCTGGCAGTCGAAACCCATAGACGCCAGGAGCTCTATAACCCTGTCGCAAGCTCCCGCATGGTTGAAAACCTGGTCGGCCAGTGCTATCGTAATGAGGTCAGCTTCAAGACCCGGCAAGTTCTGAAGCCTCGCCAAGGAAAGCCAGGAAAACGCACACACATTTCCAAACATCCAGGCCCAGGGACAGCTCATGTCCAACGCGCCAGCATGCAGCTCTCTGGCAGGCACCGATCCCCGCATTGTAGGTGGTGATACCTCAGTAAGGTGTTCGCTTGCAACATGCTCTGCTGCACCAACATTACGACATGGACATCTACACATCGGCTTTATCATGAACATACTACTTCGCAGACGAAAACCGTACATGAGATGATTGCAGTCTGGCACAAATCCCTCCTCATATGTCACCAGACACGCACATGTGAGTGCACCTGTGCACGCATACCCGAATGTTCAACTGCGTTGGGCGAGATGTGACGCGTGCGTGGCCCGCTAGCTATCATGTCACACATGGGCCTGTACCAACATACCCAAGCCCTCGTTGGCAAACTCCACTGTGGTGGTTTTGTCTACACTGGGCACGCCATCGGTGGCTGCGTCCTCACCAGGCACAGGAAAATCAATCTGCCACACACTTCAGCGCACAGCAGACATTGAGCCTGCCGCTGTTTGGATGCAACCCCGTCATGGTGGATTTCAAGCAAAGTTGACACGAACCTAGCACAGGCACAAGCCTGCGAAGGATGTCGTCCTGGACGTTAAGCCGAAAGCGAAGCAACGAGGGTTTGATCAACACAACCATGATGTCAACGATAGGGTACGACGAAGAGTCCTTTCAAGACCATCTGAACCGACTGGAAATCTCAAGCTTCGCCGCTTCGAGCACAACCCACCCACTCTCCAATGTCTGGTGTCTGTGTGGGCGCTGCGATAAGGAGGGCAAGAAGCCCTTCAACTAATGCCTGCAAGTTATTCGTCAAGGGTGTTTCTTGCTGTAAAGCTCAGGCCGAAAGCTTCAGCACATGCTAGGAACATCAGCCGACGAGTCCTGCTTCAACTAGCAGGTCCAAACTTCAACTAGAGGTCTTGCCCATATGTGACTGCGGACATCAATCATGATTGGCACTGGTCTTTCAATAAGCGCTTCATCATGCAAATGGCTCCTGGCTGGCCGCTGCACACGGTCGCGTTTTCAGGCTGTGGCCACTGCTGTTGCTAATTTCCATTTTGCTGTCTGAAGTTGCGGCTTCCGTACTCGTGTGGTTGGATAGTTACGCTACCAAAATGTTCAACGGAATCAGTAGCATCACTAGAGTTAGAGATCACACGAAGAAGACAAAGAAGGCAAACCTTCACTTAACTGCGTGACTGGGACATGTCATGGTTGAGCGCTTCGTTCTGCATCGCTTGAACTTATGGATGATTAATCTTCGTCCTTCCGTGTAGTGTAACCGCTGTTTGGTTTGAAGGAAACTGAATCAACTTACCTCATTGCTGCGTAACTTGTTCGCTCGAACTCGCTGTTTGAACAGCGCCCAACCTCCAGCCGTCGCGACGCCTGAAGCACACACCTCCATCCTCACTGTGACTGCTGCGATTCTGGAGGCTCCATGCACACCTAGCTCCTGCTGAGTGCATACCAACTTCCAACCGATTCGGAAGTTGAGGACCCGGTGCCTCCTAACGTGCTCCTGCCAATGGCATGATGCTACACCTCAGCACTATAAATGCATGTGCATGTGTATGTGTATACAGATTCATTATCACATGTGTACATATATATATATATGCATCTATCTATCTTCTATCATCTAGCTTGTGCTGCTCGAGTTGCTGCTCTCCAGCCGTTGCGTGGCCACCTCCAGCAGCAACCTTTCTCCAAAAGTATGTGGGATCGTGCTCATTATAGGAGTCGGACGGAGTGCACCAAAATTTACGCCTAATGATGTACCTAGCCTAAACCAAAGGACAATGGGCACCTACATCGCGAAGTAATAAAGCGCTTGCAAGTACGAACAAGCCCGGAACTTTGCGCGAGAACTCCTTGATATGTGCTGATCCACCGAAAGGCGACGGGCATCGGTGGATATATCAAAACCCTCAACCCCAAGTCCCTGCAGCCGCCAGAACCGGGAAATTCCGACATTGGTTGCCTGGCAAAGAGTCGCCTTTCACAACTAAAGCTCCACCACTTGAACCCTTTGTGTCTGTAGAAATCTGCAGCTCGAACTCCCAGACACCTATCCGTGATCTGAAAACGCTGAACTCCTGAATACTGTAGCACCCACCTACCTGCACCTACTCGCGATGGCTCGGGCCCTCATCCATTGCACCGGGGGACCCCAGTGCAGGTGCCCATGCACCGCGCTGGGCACAGGCGCTGAGGGCGGCGTTGTAGCCGATGATCTCAGATGGTGCAGAGACTTGGTCAGGACATGGCACGCGGTCAGAGATTCGTCAAAGCGGATTATGGGATTCCTCCAACGTCTGAGCACGTAAGCATTTCTCGACAGGTTGCTGTGGTCGCTGATGCAGCGTGCGACCCCTGCTTCAAGTCACGTAGCAGCAACAGGGCCAGCTGCCACTTGCCGGCTTTCTCGCAAGCACTGATCGTAGCATTGAAGGCTATCTCATTTGGGATATGCTCGACGATCAACTGCTCCAGCAACCAACAACCAATTTGCCACATGCGACTCTTCTCGCAGGCGGTGATGGTGGAGCTGTAAGATGCAACCTGCGGATTCTATATTGTGCTGCTTTGTTCATACAGTAGCCCATGCTGTGGGCAAAGCCATGCGAGCGTTTTTCTTACGAGTAGCATCACATCTGTTTCTTACCTGCACTAGCTGCGCAGCAGTTTTTGTTCTCTAGCATCTTGGCATATCATGCAAGCCACTGTGGTTAGCTTCAACTATAGTTCTGGAAATATCCATGTTCTTTCTCATCATTGTCGTATCAGATACACGACGGTTCATTCATCAAGCTACTCTTCGAGCTGGCATGTTGATGCCACACCAAGGGTAAACATTCCAGCATGGCCCCATGGCCATAGAGGCGTGGCTGGAGCTGAGGCAGCCACGGTGGCCTGGATGTCCTCGGTCTTCAGGTGACCCAGCACCAGGTAGGCACGTTGCCAGGCTCCTCTCTTCGCACAGGCGCCGATGGTTCCGTTGAAGACGATCACGTCTGCCTAATGAAACACAGAGTTAACAGAAACTCGCGGCACCATGACCTAGCCATGTTCGAGCTTGGGCGGGTCCGGACATGCCCGCCCACCTGCACGCCACCCAGCTTCTGCAACATGTGTTGCGCCCGGTGCCAGTGGGCATGCTTCTCGCAGGCACTAATTGTGGCGCTGCAGCTGACCAGGTCCACCTCCAGACCGCACGCCACTAGATTCTGCCATGTTTGAAGCGCATGGGTCCACAGCCCCATCTCACCGGCACGGATTGCAGCAGTGTGGGTAACCGCATCAACCTGCATCAAACGGGGGCGTCTTAGAGCCTTAGCAAGGCAGACCCTGGCATGCAGTCCTTGAGTCCTTGAGTCGAAAAAGCATGCAAGACTCCAGGCACGAGCACGATCTTTGAAGCCCAGCCTCCAAGGTGTTGTCTTTAAGGAAATTCAGCAACCTCGATACATGCCGCCAGTTGCCCGTCACTTGTGCATCCAATACAGGATTGTAAGTTAGCAGGTCAGCCTTCAAAGCCTTCTGCGAAAGCTTGCATAGCAACTGCTCCGTTTGCTTCCAGGCAAACCCCCTACTGCTCGCAGAAGTCGCAGTATTGTAAGTGACGAGGTTCGTTCTAAGACCGGGTTCTGCCAGCAACATGATAGCCTTCTGCCACTCTCCACCTCCCCCACATGCACTGATCATTGAGTTGAGTGCAATAACATCCGGCTTAACGTCCTGCATTGAAACATAGAACAGCAGCAATGCGGGTCGCCACTCTTCGGCTGTCGCCAACATGCTTAGTGTCGTGCTATATGAGATCAGATCCACTTGCCTCTTTTGCTGCATAAAATTAAGGAGCCTCTGCGCCTGCGGCCATGCTTCCACTGCTTCGAAGGTGCTGAGAGCCGCGTTGTAACTGACTAGATCAGCTTTCAAACTCTGCTCTGGGAGTTCCAGCAAAAGCTGCGCCGCTCTTCGCCAGTGTCTTCGGTCTTTCAGGGAGCTGATGACTGCATTGTAAGCGATGCAGTTCACTTCTACTCGCCGACCATGGCACTCTTCAAGGAGAAGCACCGCCTGCTGCCAGCGCTGCCTTTGGCCAAAGGCACGGATGACAGACGTGCAGGTTACCACATCCACCTGCCCCTTCAACCCTTGAAGGAGCGTGTCGAAGAGGCTCAAGGCCCACGACCACTCGCCTGCATTGCCACAAGCGGTAATCACTGAGCTACAAAGGACCTGATCAGGAAGAACTTCCTGCCGCCTCAGATCTGCCAGCTTGGCCAGGGCTCTCTGCCACTGCACCGCCCTGCCCAGAGACTTCACAGTCGATGTGCAGCTCCTCAACATCTGAGCCTCCATCTGGGCGGCATGTGACAAGTACACGTCAGCATCCATGGCGCCTCTTCTACCATCCTGCCCTCGTGCAAACCTGAAACGCTGAGACCGAATGGGGGCTTTGGTAGCATCTGCCACATGCCTGGCACATGACTCGCTTCGCCGCTTCGACCCAGTGCTCTTTTGCCCTCCACATGACTGGCCTACATGGACCGAATTCCACTGCGGAAAATCCAACTTATTTCATCGCGTTCCAGCCTGCGCATCCATGCGCAGCGTATCTTCAACGCTCAGTCTGATAAAGTGAAGGCACTTTACAGTGTAGTGAAGTTGGCGGGAGTGGTCGTATGAATTACATGCAAATGCCAAAGTCAGTATGTCGGAATGCACTTGTTGCAGCTGCATCCCTTCGACAATCTGTAGCACATGTGTCCACTTTCTAGCACCGCTGGACTGTGCAAGAGCACTGACCACTGCGTTGTAGCTGATCAGACTTGCCTCCAGCTCTTCTCGCATCAGCTCGGTGAAGAACAGCTGAGCATGGTGCCATCTGCGGGCTTTCTCACAGGTACTGATCAATGAAGTGATGGAGACTGTGGTTGCCTGAATCTGCGAGCGACGTAGCTCGTACAGCAAGACACAAGCCTGGCGCCAATCACCGCTTTTGTCACAAGCGCTGATTGCGGCATTGTAAGCTGTGGCGTCTGACTCAAGGCGGCGTGCATGCAGCTCCCGCAAAAGGATGCAGGCGTGCTGCACCTGGCCTTGCCGTTCGCAAGCACTTATGGCTGCACTATAAGCAATAATGTCCGCCTCCAGTGTCTGTTCCAAAAGCTCTGTTAGAAGGAGCTCTGCCTGCTGCCACTCGCCTTGCTTCTCGCAGGCGCTGATGACGGAACTGTAGGTAACTACGTCGGCTTTTACGAACTCCGACTGAAGTTGAAGCAGGAGAGCTCGAGCCCTTTGCCACTCTCCACGTTTCTCGCAGGCACTGAGCGCTGCATTGTAGGACGTGATATCTGGCTCGACCCGGAGCCTCTTATACTTGTCAAGAAGCAGCCATGCTCGGGGCCAGTCTCCTGCCTTTCCCAAGGTGCTAATCACGGTATTGACGGTAACGGTGCTGGCGCTAAACAGCTCTCTGTCGAAGACGTCGAGAAGTGCCTGAGACCTATGCCAACCGAGAGGTTCGGAATTACTTAGCAGTGCATTGTAAGCAACCACATCTGCCTGCACGCTCTTGCACCTCAAATGCTCTAGAGTCAGGTGGGCTTGCGACCAGTCATCATCTTTGCAAGCAGCAATAACAGAGCTATATGTGATGATGCTAGGCTTGAAGCGCCTCCTCGCAAGCTCTTCAAGAAACATTCTTGCCATCTGCCAAATTCCAGGGTCTTGACATGAGCTTGCTGCAGAATTGTATGTGATCTCATCCGTCCGCACCCGAGATCTCATAGCAGCCTCCAACAGAAGCTGTGCGCGATTCCACTTGCCATCACTGTGCACAGCAACTGCTGCATTTAGAATGCGAGTGTTGGGTGTAAGCCTGTCACATCGAAGGTCGTGCAGGAGTTCTGTAGCACCAGGCCAATCCCCTTCTATCGCACATGCACCCAGAGCAGACCCGTAGATAAAAATGTCAGACTGCAGCCCAACGTGCTTTAGCTCTTTGACCAACTGCATCGCACATCGCCACGAAGTGCCCCTGGTGCAAGCACTGATGGCTGCCGTGAAAACCAAGGCATCCAATGCTGCAGCTTGGCCGTTTGCCTCTCTGAGCAGCTGGAGCACTTGGGGCCAGAAATTTCCTCGTCCGCACGCACCGATGGCCAAGGTGCACCTCGACAGCATAGTCAACCGGACACGGGTGAAAGGCTACGGACCAACACCAACACCAAGTGTGAAACATGCGCTTGCAAAGCATTTGCAAAGGAAAAGCCGTGAACGAATGTGACGACCCAATGCATTGATCAATCGTGACACGGCACTTTTTGAGCTGGTCCCGGCTGGCTCCAGATCGAGATGACAATTGCGAAGCAGCAATGGGCGAGACCATAAGTTAGCCTGCCCCCAGCAATCAAAAATGTTCGCCCTGACCTTCGTGCGGGCGAGGCCATGTGCATGGTCCACATCAGCTGCCTACCAGCGCCAGCCGACCTTGCATGGTGCCTCCATCATCGTGTCGCTAGATACCACGGGCCGGGCATGGAGGCAGGTATGGAACATGTCTGTATGTCTTCGAACCCAAGGACAACGGATGACAGCGGGAGCAGTTGAAGCATGCCGGACACTCATGCAATTTCAGGCGCTGTCGTGCAGTGCTGTTCGACAGCTTTGTTCCGATGCTATCGCCACGGCCATTCTCAACTTTAGCTTGCAATTGACATCGACAGCATGCAATAGCTGCAAAGCTACCCTGAATTCTCCTGCACTTGAGCAAGCTGCAGCAACTGAAGCATGAGCGACAACATCAGCTCGAAGCTGCTGTTCGATCAGCGATATAAGTAGAAAGTACGCAAAATACCAGGTTCCACTCTTCTCACACGAGCCAATGGCCGCGTTGCAGGTAAAGATGTTGATTTGTACCAGCCTTTCCTGAGCCTCGTGTAGATGAAATAAGGCTTTCTCCCACTGTCCGGCCTGCTCGTATGCGCTGATGAGCGAGCTATAAGAGATCACATCGGGCTTGAGCTGCTCGTCCTTTAACCTCCGCATCAAGAAGAAAGCATGTTGCCACTTCCCACACTTCTGATATGCGCTGATCATGGCGTTGTATGTCACTACATCTGCCTGGAGGATGTGCTGGTCCATCTCACATTGCAGAAGCTGGGCATGGTGCCAAGCAGCACCCTTCTCGCAGGTGCTGATGAAGGAATTTACGATGATGTTGTTCAACTTCAACTTGCAGCGCTGCAGTTGTCCAAGAAATAGCAAAGCCTGCACCCAGACTCCATGCATCTCGCATGCTCCCAGGACAGCACCATAGCTGAATGCGTCAGCTGTCAGATTGCTCGCCTCCAGCTTCAGAAACATCAACTTCGCATCTTCCCATTTGCTGGCCTTCTCACAGGCACTGGCCAGGCAATTGTGAGTGGTCAAATCTGGCCGTACCTGCTGACATCGCATCTCCACGAACTGCGAACGGGCTTGCTGCCATTCTCCGCACTTCTCGCAGGCACTGGTCACAGAGTTGGTGGTGATCACGTCTGCCTGCAACTGTTGCTGCCTGAGCACATCTACCTGCTCAACAGCACGAATCCATGTCCCAGTTCTACCACAGGCACTCGTCGTAGAGTTGAAAGTAATTGAGTCCGCCTGCAGACGGTTTAGGTGCATGTGCCGGAGGAAAGCTCGAGCTTTCTGCCAATGTCCAAGCTTCTCACCAGCAGCAACTGCAGCATTGTAAGTGATCGTGTTTGGTCTGACGCTTTGCTTCCACAAATCGTTTGCAATGGCATGTGTTTGCTGCCAGTAGCCAGCATTCCCGCATGCCGTCACTGCCGAGCTGATGCTGACTACATCTGCTTGCATGTGTTTCATGGGCAAGCCGTGAAGAAGTGCAAGGGCCTGTCTCCACACACCGATTCGTGCGCAAGCCGCAAGAGAGGAACCGTATACCATCTGGTCAGTCGTGATCTGATCTTTGGATAGCCTGAAAACTGCTCATTGCACCTACCTGTCAAATCCGCATGGCTATGGCACTATGAACCCCGAGCTTTGCTGCAGATCAAAACACACTGGAGAAGACAAGGAGCCTGGCAAGCAAGGCCATGACCGGCTGCCACCGTCCTGCCTTTCCATGCTTGGTGATGGCAACCGTGCAAGACTTCAGATCGTAGCCAGCATCTGTATGTGAAGGCCGAAACGAACAAGTTTCGCATCTCATCTTCTGACACTGCACATGGCAGGCTGGTTGAGAAAGGTATAGCAATGAGTTCTTTTTCAGCTGTGACCGGTATCATCCGGTGCAGGCACGCCGACGAAAATTCGCCACAGGCTTCAAGCAAGGCCACAAGTGACGAACTGGTTTGTCGGACGAGGCCGTGGGACGCAAGACATGATGGTGATTGCATGCATTGCAGCCGAAGTTCTATGTGTTGGCAATTGAAGAACGTTTAGCTGCTACATGCCAAAGCACCTGGAGCATGAATGGACCTTCCAGGCAACAGGCGCGGTGCCTTTCTTTGAAATTACAGTACAGGCAAACACGACCACTATCAGTCACTAGCACCTTCATTCTCCAAGGCGCAGCTCCTCTCAAGACTTGACATCAATGCCCGTCCCGATCTCAAGCTGTCTATGTCGAAAGCTGATGAGCCGACATCATTTTGCAGTGCCCATTTTCTTTCAACAGGGTGTGCCGAACTCGTACCATGGTCTAGGAAGGGTTAAAGGTGCACCTGCAAGAATTCCGGATAACTTCTTAGAATCAGAGGGCGATATACCAGGCCAGGCTTTCGGGCAGGAACCTTGCATAGCAGCTGCTGGGCTCACAGCTCTCAGGTCAGGAACTGTGGAATTGGGCAGCAGATGCGAACATACCTATAACATACCCCATGCGTAGCTTGAAGATTGAAAACATAGGTTAAGCGGCTGGCTTGAAGCGGAGATGAAACGACAAGTGACTCACAGCTTTAGGTTTCAGAGCTGAAAATTGAAGAGGCTCTGTGAACACAAACTGCGTTGCGTGCCGGGGTAAATCCTCAAACATTTGTGTATATCTTTACTGCGATGCCGCTACGCTAACTCTAAGCCACTTCGAAGCCAATACCGGTCTCCCAATGCCGGACCCTCAGCCCGAAATCACTGCTGTAAAGATTGAGCGCGATGTTATGATAACAAGGCGCAACGCGGTTTGCGCATTTGGCACCTTCTTAGGTTTCGCGTTAAAGACTGTAATTTAGAGTAAGGATTGTTTGCTTGAGCTTAGGCAGAATGCTGGGAAGTCGCTGCACTCGACTGTCACTGCACCCCATAGCAAGACAGACTCGGAGGCCTTGATGGATTTTCAGCAAATGTTCATCACTCAGAGCTTGCATGTCTAATTCCCAGGGTCCACC